TATATATATATATATATATATATATATATAATATCATATATTTGCCAAAAATCCAATATCGTGCATCCCTAACTTTTTTATTTGTGTGTGTCAAACTATGATTGTTTCTGTTTTTGAAGTGAAACAAGCTTAAAATTACAGTTATGAAACCACTCGCAGCTTTTATTAACTAAAAGTACATTTCCATTTCTCATTGTTTAGCCTCTGCGTGTGTTCATGTGTCAACCTGTCACCACAACATTTCATGAACTGCTGAGCAAGTTTTAACGAAACCTTCCAAAAGTTAATCGCTATCTACAACTGATTAACTTTTAGAGTCAGCTCAGTTCAAGATGGCTGCCATGGCCAAAATAGCTACAATCTTGTCAGTGTTACAGATATTGACCTAAAATTTGGTGTGGTAGTAGCTGAGACTGATCTGCAAAACATAACCCGAGCACTAAGCCATTGCACAAGATCTTCGGTTAAAGCTTTGCTGTTTAGTTCTAGTCAGCTTTGTCTGTTGGCAAGATATTTCATGAACCACTGCATGAATTTGAATGAAACTTTCATGAACTTATCAGTGAACGCACATCTAGAAATTACTGACTTTGAGCGTCAGATTACATCAAGATGGCTGCCTGACTAACTGCTGTGATTCAATCAGTTTTTACTGATAATGTTCCAAACTTTTTTTGTTCTGACAGAATCATTCACAACAAACACTCCAAGTGCTACACACTGAGCGAGATCTTTGTTTATGATTTCAGCAGAAACCGTTGGAGTCAAACCTGTTCGTCTGTTAGCAAAATATCTCACGAACGATTAAAGCAACCCTGGAAAAGTGATCATTGGATCCACAACTGATTCATCTCAGATCAATTCAAGCCATGCATCACAGCCAGCTGATGTAAAAAAAACAACACTAAAAATGCTCTAAATCAGTCAATTTTACAGATAGAGCTAAAACCTGATGAGGTAGTAGCTGAGGGTCATTCACAACACATAATCTGAGCATAACATTTTGCATTGTTGCACAAGGTTGGACCAAAACAGCTGTAACTCACATGATCTTACATTAAATCTCTGATTTGAACGATAGCAGGCGATAAGCATTTCTTTTAACTTCAGCACTTGGATCTATTTTTATCTTTTTCTGATTTTAAACTGTTGATTTTTCTTTTATGCTGAGCCATTTGTAAAGCTGCACCGAGCTCTGGTCCAGAATGGAGACTTTTGCTCAGATTACAGACAAACATGCATATTCCTGCATCAGACTGGGACCAAAACAAAAGGGTCATCCACAGATATCCCCTTATCCGCTTTGGAGCGGCTGATGAATGTTTGACATAACTTTAAAAGTCGAGCGGGCAGAGCGTTGGGCCTCTGAAGTGTTTATCGCCCAGCGGTATCATGTGGTTCCAGCACGTTGAGCGGAAGCTTTCCAAATGTTCCAGTAACTAACCTACGCTCCAGAAAGGATTTCCTCCTGCAATTAACCCTGCACAGGGAGTGCTGGTGGTTGGAATGTTGTAAAAAGTAGGATGAAGCAATTGTTTACCTGCTGGAGTCATGGCATCCTGTTGTGCTTCTATCATGAGTTCACTTCAGCTGATTCAACGCTGTCAAGTGTTGATGATCTCAAGGAAAAGCTTGAATTTAAAAAGTACACATTTATTTTGAAAGCCCTGTTTAATTTGTCTGTTCTATTCCACTTAAGGTCTGATGAGGTAATTATTATCCGCAAGGTCCAGATGACAGCGGCTGCTAGTTGCAAATAGAAACAAGCCTGATCTATATATGGTGAGCTAGATTAGTCTGATGCAGCAGGAGTGGCAAGTTGCTTACAGATAACAAAGATAAGAAATGTTGCCATGGCGTCTGAGGTACTTTTAAGGTAATGTGGTATAAAAGTGGCTCCTCGGATGCCTCATGTCCTTGAAGGTGCCAAGGCAGTGGCAACGCTTTTATTCACCATCGTTTGTTGTATCAGCACAGTGTTCTCAGTTTCTGCAGACTACAGAGCTAGTAACACATACGTAAAAGTCCCACCATGTTTAGGTGGTTCCTCACCACTAATTCCTTGCTTGCACATGCCATTTGAATCTTGTGCTGTACCTAACAGGCGCCGTTCTCTTAAGATGTCAGTTGTAAGCGTGCAGCCATGATGAGGAAAGGTGGTGTGGTCATGAACAGAGGAAGTTACCAGCACACAAGGAAAAAAAAGGAAGTTAAAAAGCTAGTGAGACAAGCGAGTGTCAGAGGTTCGCACAATAAGAGGAAAAGGTAAACCTTCCGCTGCAGGGTTACAGTATTATGACGGTGTTTGGAGTTCATTTGTGGAACTGACATCATTTCCACAGATGGAAAGTCGCTGTCATAGTTTAACACTAGATTAAAACGTATTCCTGTCTATGTGGCATTTACTGCACATTTGCTAATGCATGTTCTTACGTCAGTACAAACCTGTACAGAACAAAAAAAAAGGGAAGACTTTTATTAAGCCCATCAATTCTTCATCAGAATGAGCTGCTCAGTGGAATTGAGTTCATTCTGTCATTGTAAATGATTACTTTGAGTAATCTGTACTTGAGTTCCAGAATTGCGCCGCTTGGGGTGGCTGCATGTCGGAGTAGCTCTCGTACGTTAATTCTGAGATTTTGCTTTTGAAAACTCTTTTTTCTGGATGTAAAATCGCTTTTTTTTTCGGATGATTACTTCCTCTGGTATCAGATGCTGTGCCGCTGGAAGGATTTTTACTGAAATCTTTTTTTATATTTGGACATTTGTTGTGATGCGTAGCCATAACAACGAGGTGGTTTTTACAACTGGGAGCTGCTGATTCACATCTCAAAAGCTCAAATAATATCTCAATTACAGCCCCAAATGCCAAATGAGTTGAAAAGGAGGTGCTATGGATGCATTACCATCTACCTGGAGGCGGTGCTCGAGCGCCTGACTGTCGAGATCTTGGAGGTGGTGGTAAACACAGCTCGTGACAGCGGGAGGACTGAGATCATCCCTTTCCACAAAACAAAAGCACAATAAAAAGTTACTTTTTGTTAAAAGTTTTCTTTTTTAAGCGCATTCTGTAGAGGAATAGTTTCTGCAGCTCTTTGAGTGACACTAGTTTAGGACATTAAAGCTTTTTTGACGCCGCTTTTGAATTAAATCAACGTAATGAACTTTAACATAAGAAATTCTGCATCGTTTCTTGCTTCTTCCTCCATTTTGCTTAAAGACACAAAAAAGAAATCGCAGACATTCATTTGTGGCTTAGTGATGGCTGCATGTTGAAGCAATGCAACAACAAACAAAAAAACTCATTAAAGGAATAAAAGCTCTATTATAATTTATTGGCATTTATTTATAGATGATTTGTATCGTGAAATATAGAGAAAACTTGTTTACAAGCAGAAAGTAAATAGGAAGTAGCCAGTGAAGCACAAGTAAACACTAATATTGAAGAAATAAAAGCAACAACAACAACAAAAAATGCAACTGTTATTTTTTTTATTTTTAAATCAAGTAGCATGACAGATTAAGGAACATAAACTTGATGAACAGTGATTGTTTATCAGTAAACAAAAATAACAAGCTAAAGGTTTACTAATGGAGCTAAGAACTAATGAGCAAAAGATGAGTGGCAATCAGCAAACAAAGGACCTTTTTGTTGTTATCTACGTGGATGATTGAGCTTACAAACCTTTTCCTGAACCATTTTGGTTTTGGTTGTCCTCAGGCTGTTACTGTGAGTAGCACGTCAGCCACCTGGCCTAAAACATTCGATTGTTGTTCATGATGATTGATGGTTTTGGATGGGTGTGCTCTGTTTGCACATGTTAAAAGCCTACTTCTGAGATTCCAACAGGAGGCTGGCTGGAAACACAGCAAAGAAGGCATGAGACATGGGACAGATCTGGTTGGCAGGCTGAAGACTGACAAAGTCCTCTGGATGGGGGCGAAATGTTTCTCACTTGAAACTAGTCCAGATGACACGATTTAACCTTTTTTGTTATCTACCTGGATGACTGAGCCTACAACCCTTATTTTATTGCAGATAACCAACAACAACCTGATCGTGAATACATATTGTCTGCCTACTAACATGCAAGAGTTTTAAATTAATATAATACAGTACATTGCAAGATTTCATACTCAATGCATGTGTTGTGAATGACTTTCAGCTACTACCACATCAAAACTTTAGCTCAATATCTGTGAAACTGACTGAGGTATAGCCATTTTAATGTCAACTAAGGTCAAACAGCTGAGGCTGCCATCTTAAATTGGATTGACTCCAAAAAGTAATGATTACATTCAGCAGAGGTGGAAAGAGTACTGACAATTTGTACTCAAGTGCAGGTACTGTCCACTGCTTAAATGATACTCAGTTACAAGTAAAAGTACTGGTGTTATAAAAATCCTTAAGTAAAAGTACAAAGTACTCGTCTCAAAAACTATTCTAGAAGGCATTCAATTTGATTTACTGTATATAATGTCTACATTCAAAGCACATTTCTCAGATGCTCAGAAGCTCCGTCTTACTTTTGTACCAGGCAAACCAAACCGATGGCAGTGACAACATCTAAGATCTTTGCATACTTAGCCAAACTCATAACCCACACATATAATCAATAAAAAAGCAATATCATACAGGTAAAACCTCGTACACCACAGTATGTTTTTGAGATTAGATGCTGAAGTCTTGTAAGCTGCTATCACTGTAGAGATCAGACAAAGTTTGCATCTGGACACTGTTTCCTATTCACCCTCTGTACATGAAACATTCCTCCAGGTACAGCCTTGGGCACTCGTCCTCAGCCTTTACCTCATCATTTTCTCTGTTGACAGTGTTGTCCTCTGTCTCCATTTTGGCTTTTTCTCCAAATCTTCAGTCCATAAATGACTCTCTACTCTACAGAGTTGTCCTTTGCTTACGTCTTAGGTAATTGGCCCGTTCGTGATCTGAGAGTCAAAGATGCAGATGAACAGTTTGAATACTAATTCAAGTTGTGGCCGTACTCAGTAGCGACTTCTGATTTTAAAAGTAGCAAAGTAGATGACATGGTCTAAATTGCACTTAAGTATGAGTAAAATTACACACTTGAAAGAAATACTCATAAAAGTACAAGTACCCCAAAAAAATCTACTTAATTACAGTAATGTGAGTATTTGTAATTTGTTACTTCCACTCTTGACATTCAGAAAGTTTCATTAATATTCACCCAATTGTTCATGAGATATTTTGCTAACAGACACACCACTCAAAAACATAACACAAAGGTTTTAAACAAAGATCTTACAAAATCCGTTACCACTTGGAGAATGCGCTGGGGATCAGTCTCAGCTAATACCTCACTAACGACATAATTGTACTCCCATAATCAAAATCTGAGCCATGAAATAAATATTAAAACATAACACGTGGCCAAGAAAGGCATTCATTCATTTATTCACCAAAACAATCCCATTAGGTGTTCTCATTAGGTTTGTATACACACACACACTGGACCTGACAAAACACCCTGCCTAATGAGTTAATTCATACGATGACTCAATAAACATGTCTCGTTTTAATTACATCATCATATGTTAGGTGTATAATAATGTGACACGGTTATGGCTAACACTGGTGAAGCAAAGGAAATCCTGACGTGTCCTGTATTTATGTTCAATCAAAGAGGATAAACATAAATGTTGGCACATTTCTTCTTCTTTCAGACACAGATGGTCATGTGAGGAAGAGCAGCCACCTGCTGAACGTCACCCTGACCATGCACCGTCTCCTCATGCCCTCCGGTGACCTGCTGGACAAACTCATCAGTCTATATCCTTCAGCAGTCCATTATGAAGTGCTTTCGCAAGCACAGCCTCGTGATTCAAACAATGCCAATTTCGAGCCGCACACAGAACAAGGGATCAGATCGCCGTCCCTGCTGCTTTCGATTGGTTGTCAACGGCAACGGACAGTCAAGCTGGCTCTCAGTGCATCTCTCAGCTGTCAGTGTAAAATGTGATAGGCGAACGACAGTTTGCGTTTACTCCTACGTTTATCCTCCTTAACCCATTTTGCATTCATTCCTGCTCTCACCATGCAACTTTTCTTCACTCATGAGGCTTGTGCAGACAATGATTTACCATTCTGTATATTTATTTTTAATATTGGATTTTATTTATTTATTGTTGTCCCTTGTTCAAACTTAAAAAAACTATTTATTAATGTTTTGTGGTTAGAGTGGAACGCTTCTAATATAGGCTTCTATTCAGGACACCGCAGTGGCGTCACATAACCTGCTGTCCCTGCGAGCAGCCTTGGGGCTTCAGGTGTTAATTACCTCCACCACCGATTATCTATAGATAAACACAGAGGCCCCTGATCAAATAAAGCCTCATCACCATGACCTCTGTTATTTTTAACCGTCTCGTTCTGTGCCGAAGACCCAAAAGGATGCTTCAAACCAATTCAATCTGTTGGCCAGGATCAAGAAAGAAACTCGGGGGGCCATTAACAGTCCTCGCCACAGTCTAGCCTTGGGATTGCGTAGGTGGCTCTTCTGTTCTCGTGACGCAATTAGCCTTTATGTGCGCATCATTTCATTCTGATTTCTGCCAGCTGAGAGCCATAGTCAGGATATTTATAAAAGCTCATTTTGTGTGTTTTGTGTTAACTGTACATGAACTCAGTGGAGAGGGTTATTTTCTGTGAAAAATGGATGTTATTGTGACTAAAGTCCTGGATTAATAATACTTATATCTGATTAAAACATCTCTAGATGTGGACTCCTGAAACCAAGCACCCCACATTAGCAGTTGTTGCGTTGTCTTAGACAATGATTGTGCATTTTATTATTCATTTTCCTCTGCATACCAGAATGATTCATTGAGCAAGTCTCATCAGATTTGTGCTTCAAAATTCTCCCACATGACCAAATGTCACATGTTGGTTCAGCTGCTTTAGTTTGTTTTTAACAAGTTATTCATAAGAAAGCACGCCTGCAGGTAAAACAACCAGATGCTCACTGTTTAGTCTAAACCTGCAAGGGTGAATTCATGCTTTAAACAGGTTCACGTTTCGGATAACCTATCACCTTAACTAGTTCTTACATTTAAAGCTGCGCTGGACAACGATCAGCCAACAGAGTGCAAAAAGATCTGCTACCTTATCAGGTCAGTGTTTGAGACATCTTGAGAGATAAATTGAACTTTTTTTTTGTTATAAGTCATACTGGTATTGTTTCTCATCTCCAGGCACTGGATTCAAGAATTCTGGATAATATTCCGGTTGCCCCACAGCTTGTCTGACAGCCTGGATGAGTTCCGGGATTTGATCAGAGAGCATGGGCAGGAGGATCTTTGCTCTCTCCTCGAGACCAAATGGATGTAAGTGTTAATCTCTTACCAGCTGGCCAACTGAGACACAAGGCCTGCACAACTCGCCACTGCAGTCGTGAAATCGGTTACGATCCAGAATACGGACTGTGAACTGAAAAGCGTTTCACTTTTTCGTTGCTGTCGTGGAAATAAATGAGCCTACACATAAAACAAAATCTAGGGTCTTACCTTTCAGGGTTCTGCCTTATAGGTTCACAATTCCAGTTTTGGCTCGTCTCTCCTGTCTGCTAAGGCCTTCTCAATCTTTTTTATTTTTATTTTTTTGTAAGGGAGGCTTTTGTCTGCTATGGCCAAAGAGTTTTACCTCACCTGGTGTACAAGAACTGTGAAATCCCACTGCTGACACCATATTGTTGCAGCAAAAAATAATATCTCCATAAAGACCCAGTTTGTTGATTTTTACCTGTTTATTACAAATAAATGCCAAGGTTCTAATCTAAGAGATGAGACAGTTTAAAGCAGTATAATCTGTCTAAGTTAAGATTGTCCGAGTGCCTATTTGAACAAGACACAGCAATAAGAAGTAAAGACCGCCTGTCCCTTCACTTTGTGTGCTTCTGTTGCTTCTGGTAGTGGCTGTGACTGAGTGGTTAGAGCAGTCGTCCTCCAATGCAAGAGTTGGGGGTTCGATTCCACCAGCAGTCACATGCCGAAGTGTCTCTGGACAAAACACTGAACCCCTCAATGCCTCCGATGTGTGTCCCATCGGTGCATGAATGTGATAAACACTGATTATTCTTTGTACAGATCTAGTAGAGTGCTGTATGAATGGGTAAATGAGGGCACAGATTGTAGAGTAAAACGCTTTGAGTACCGTATCTTGATTAGATAGAAAAGCGCAATATAAGAACAGTATATTTCCTAAATAGGACGTCTCATAAGACCTATAAGTAATTCCTATTTTTCCACTACAGTTTCAACACAAATTGCCTGGCTTTCAAGAATCTTTGGCCAAATTAATTTAGGCATCATTAAAATCTATACAATTGTTTTATTTTTTTCTAAATTTACCACTGTTTAAGCTTTCCTGTATGTTATGCTTTTTGGGCTGTTGTAGAAATGAACGAGAACGATCATGGAAGGCTAGCCAGAAGATCAAGGCTAACTACAGTAAAAAGAGGAAAGTTTCCCTTCTTTTTGATCACCTGGAGCCCAGTGAGTTGGCTGAGCATCTTACCTACTTGGAGTTTAAATCATTTTGTAGAATATCAGTGAGTATTTGCACTCATGTGGAAAGGGATAATTTTAAAGATTTGCCTCCATGCAAGGGTTTCCGCTCATCTTTCTTCCTTTTTTTTAACCAGTTTGTAGACTATCTAAATTACATTCGAAGCTGCTGCATGAAGGACATCCCTGTGCTGGAGCGTTCCATCGCCCTGTGTAATGGGATTTCCCAGTGGGTTCAGCTGATGGTGCTGAGCCGGCCAACCGCTCAGCTGAGAGCTGAGGTTTTCACAAAGTTTATCCACGTCGCACAGGTAGTGGTTAACACAGTCCCCATCTCTAATTTGACACTTTCTGTTTATAGCTTGAAAACACCTGAAACATTTCCTCTATGCGTGCATCTAAAGGCTTTAGCTGACATAAATCATTGAGCTATTTAAAGGCCTAGCACTGCTAGAAGGAATGAATATATACTACCACATTTATGCCAAAGTTTTAGACTAAGACTACACTGTGAGAAATGGAGTTGTAGCCATTATGGCCAAACCTTGTGTGTAATTTTATGTGATATCTTTCACTAAAATTTGGTGCTCATTTACACTCTGTAAGTGTGTTTCAGCTATTTAGATAGTTGGAAACACTTGAAAACTAAGGAATCATGAGAAGTAAACAGATAAGTACTTGTGGTTTTGGAAAAAGGAGAATTGAGATTGTAGTTATTGTCAGTTCTGACTTGTTAAAACCGTTCCATTATGAAGTTGCACTCATCATGCTGAGAAGCGGCCTCAGGGAGCTGTGAGGCAGGCTCGTACTGGGTGGACCTCTTACACTAACAGTAATGCACCAGACTGCTGCTGCTGATTGCTGTCAACCTCAAAACCTACGGGTGTGGAAACGAATTTCACACCATAATGCTCCAGTGACAGCACAAATTAGAGAACTGAAAAGAGGCAGGAAATGCACCACCAAAAAGAGTGAGATATCAGAGCAGGGTAAGAAAAAAGACAACAACATAAGTGGCTTATACAACATCAGTGTTGTGAGTTATATAACCAGGGCTACCTGGAACAAATTTAATTGTGTGTGTTGTTGCGTGTGCGTGAATTGACTGATACGTGTGTTTCTTTTGTTTGTGTCCTCCTAGAGTTTACACCTTATGCACAACTACAACACACTAATGGCGGTGGTGGGAGGACTGTGTCACAGCTCAATCTCAAGACTGAAAGACACGACCTCACATGTACCGAGTGAAGTCACCAAGGTAACGGATGAAAGTCTCATGATCATGCTTTACTTTCCTGTAATGGAGTGCGTTAAGCTTTCGTGTGTATCTTACAGGTCTTACCTGTTAGAGAGCTCAAAGTCAACACTATAGGTTTGTTTTATCAGTATTTTTCTGATGCTGCAGCTCAACAGTACAGCAAAGACCCACTTTTTGCTCCAATATGACCCGTGAACTACACGTCCTTCCATCACATTTGTCAAGATGAATCCAAATTTCAGAATAAATGAAAAGTGGCACTGGCTTTGCGTGTTTACCCCAACAATAAATGTCAGATGCTGCCAAAGGCTTTCGCAAAGAGGAACATTTTATGTTTGGTTTTATCATTGAACAAAGATTTGATGCGCTTGAACTCAATAGGACAGTTCCAGAGAGGGGAAAATGTATTTTTGTGTCTTTTAGTCACAGTAATGAGTCTAACTTAAGTGTTTTTAACTACCGTAACTGGATGGGAGCCCCAACTAACAGCTGTGTGAAGTGCTTACAGTAATAAAAAGGTTTGTAAGCTCAATCATCCAGGTATATACAGTAACAACAAAAAAGGTTCAGTCATGTCATCTGGACCAGATTCTTTAAGTGAGAAACGTTTCATCTCCCATCCAGAGGACTTCATCAATCTGCGGCCTGCCAACCATAAGTAGCCTTTATTGCTGTGTTTCAAGCCAACCTCCTGTTGGACTTTCAGAATTAGGCTTTTAACACATGCAAACAGGACATACCCATCCAAAATAATCAATCATCATGTACAACAATCAAATGTTTTAGGCCAGATGGCCAACTTGCTACTCACAGAAACAGCCTGAGGACAAACAAGGCCAAAATGGTTCAGATAAAAAGGTTTGTAAGCTCAATCATCCAGGTAGATAACAACAAAAACAGTTCAGGCTTGAAACACAACGAAGGCTACTTATGAGACAGATCTGGTTGGCAAGCCACAGGTTGACAAAGTTCTCCAGATGAAGGATGAAACGTTTCTCACTTACTGGTCCAGATGACACGATTGAACCTTTTTTGTTGCTTACAGTAGTCACAACAAGAGTAGCTAAAGGTGTGCTTAGGTTGGTTTAAGTCAGCAGTTGGAAGAAATTACCTGATTTTTGATTACCAGCTGAAAAATCTGTCAGTATCTGTGTTATTTGGTCCCTTTTTGGTAGTCCTTTGTGATTATTAGGTTCATGCCCGGTCATTATGCTTTATTTTCTGTATGTCATGCTGTTCAGTTCTGTTACTTGTGTTTTCAATTGATTAGTCGTTGTGTTTGTCACTAGCCACTTTTCCACCAGTTAGCATTTTCCCAATCAGCCCGTCACACCCATCTATACCTGTTCCCTGTGTTACCGGTCACACCTGCAGCCTCTCCTTTCTATCATGGCCAGTCCTTCTAATCCTTCAGTTTCACTTCACTCCCAAATCGTGCAAAGTTGGTTTTCATGCCACATCTGGGTTTTCAGCAATACAAACAGAAAGTTCTCTTTTTTCAGTCCTAACACCATAAATGTGTCTTCGTGAACCAACAAGATTAAAGCCATGGCATTTTTATTAGCATAGCATGCTCTTTAACAAACCACATGATATGAAGTTTACTCGAGTCAGGGTTTAAAAACATTATTTATTTTATAGGTCCTGAATGAGATGACAGACCTGCTGTCCTCCTGCAGAAACTTTGACAACTACAGACACGCTTACAGCAAATATACAGGTTTTAAAATTCCCATCCTTGGTGTTCACCTGAAAGACCTGATTTCAGTCAACGAGGCCATGTCGGACTACGTGGAAGACAACAAGGTGAACGTCCAAAAGCTGCAGGCGCTCTACAACCACATCAATGAGCTGATCCAGCTTCAGCAGCTCCCGGTTAATCTGGATGCAAACAAGGACCTGGTTCATCTCTTGACGGTAGTGAACTTTTCAAGGAAACTTTTATGCTCTTATGATGTAGTGATGGATTATAGCTTAATCTGATTTGCCAAGTTGTAAACACATACATAAATGCAAATGAGCACATTACGGCATGCAGTCTGTCTCGTGTGGGTGTGATGAGAGTCTATGATCTATGAGTGTGTGGGTAACAAACTGAATGGGAATGAGTTCAGATCGCTGTATTGTTCTGTTTTCTCTTTGCAATGTTTTAATCATACTTTAAAGAACAGAATGTCCATGGGAGATAACAATTGTCCCGTAAGCTGATTTGCTCTTATCAAAACGTTTCAAGGAGAAACCATGGGACACGGACAGCTCATTCATTTTTCTGTTTACCTCTCATGTGTGGATGTTATTCCCTCCTACAGCTGTCCTTGGACCTTTACTACACCGAGGACGAGATTTATGAACTGTCTTACGCACGGGAGCCCAAAAACTGTAAAGCACCTGTGAGTGATGGAACCATGCTTTAAATATGCTCCCTAATTAAAATAAAAAATATAACTCATTTAGCTTAAGGCTTTTAGAAGCTAGAGGACGGCAGTGGCTAATCTACTCTTTGGAGTGTTGTGTTTATATTAAAGTTAAATCTATGAAAGATTGGAATTGTGTTATTTTAATACAATAACTTTATAACCAGAGACTTCAAGATGGTCCAAAAGGGACAAAGAGATTTCTCACCCATAGTTTGGGTGTAGGTGGATGGTGTTTAGGTGTCTGCAATTTGCAATTTAAACTACGTCCTACACACTACACCTCTAAAGACAAAACTTAAGCAGGGTGTGTGATAATTGTGCTGCTTTGCAACAAGCACGTCTGGTTTCAGGACAATATAATGCCTTTTGTCAGCAGCAGGGAAACAGCTTCCTGGTTCATTAAGAAATGTTAATATAAAGTTTCAACGTTCAATATTACATATACATTTAATAATACTGGACTTTTTGGAAGGTGTCGAGCTTTTAGTTCTATTGTTTAATACGAGTGCCAGCTATTTATTCTGCTTTGATAGTTTGCAATGTTGTCTAATTTTTTTATGTGATATATGATGTAAATTCGTGACATTTTTTGTCGTGGTTATCTTTAGCCTGCCACCCCTTCTAGACCACCGGTTTGTGTGGATTGGACATCAGGAGTAGCTCCTAAACCCGACCCTCGAACCATCAGCAAACATGTGCAGAGGATGGTTGATGTAAGTGCTTCCTTTTTCTAATGTATCCTCCGCACAGTCACAGTATTGTCATTACGTAATCCTTAGTTATACCCGTCATTATTCACGAAGCCGTTTTGCAGTCTTGCAGCTATTGTTCACTAGTTGAGTAACAAACTGTGCTTCTTTTTTTTTGGGGTCTCCCACAGTCCGTGTTTAAGAACTACGATCACGATGAGAATGGCTTTATTTCCCAAGAAGACTTTGAGAAAATTGCAGCGAGCTTTCCCTTTTCCTTCTGTGTCATGGACAAAGAAAAGTGGGTGTTTGATGGGTCACACACACTCGCTTTCTGCTCGCTTGTCACTTCAGAGGGGAGGAAGCAAAAGTGGCATTTCTAGGAATGAAAATAGCAACAGGAAACATAAACTAGTTGCAGATAGAACTAGAAAACCTCTAAATACTCACAGGAAAACCAGCAGAGGTGATGTTACAGTGCTTAACAATACACACACAATAGGCTGTTCGGCACAGGAGACACATGAGTGGGTGTAGATATTAGTAAATCAGAACAATAAATTCTGATGTCTTTCAGTCACAGCTGTGCTTTTCTGCAAGTAGTCTGAATTTATGTGATGTTTTTGTGCTTGTTAAGGGAAGGACTTGTGAACAGAGAGGAGATCACGGCGTATTTCATGCGGGCTAGTGTCATCTGCTCCAAACTGGGTTTAGGTTTTGTCCACAACTTCCAGGAGACGACTTACATGAAACCCACCTTCTGTGATAACTGCTCAGGGTTTGTAAGTAAACACATAGTGTTTTAATTCTGATTTAATCTAGATCTTACTTTCATTTTGGTGTTGGGTAATGAAAAATGTGTTTTTCTCACATATTATTTGCAGTTGTGGGGTGTTATCAAGCAAGGCTACAGATGCAGAGGTAATTATCATGCACAGCTATCTTTACCATGCCCATCTCTGAGCGTCATGTTCTGAAACAAGACGGTGAATGCACTCTGTAGTGGAGAGCAGGTGAGGTGAAGTGTGGTTTTTCTCAGTTTCATAGTGCAAACTGAACGCTACAGCAACGGGAGGGGGGGGGGGAGACAGAAAGAGTCTGCTCTCAGATTTCCCCCTCCCCCGTGCTTCAAAAGATCTTAAAACGTATTTGTTTGCTTGAGCTTGCACCGGTTTGCAAGTTGTACGTGCAGAGAAGAGGTGGCGTTCAAAGAGAAGCGGGAAGTTGGTTTGTTGACGTGGAGCTCCGCAGTTCCTGTCATGACTCGTTGCATTCCTTTGACCTTCGCAGACTGCGGCATGAACTGTCACAAGCTGTGCAAGGATCAGGTGGCCTTCGAGTGCAAGAAGAACCCCAAAGTGACCAACGCCATTGACAGTCCGACGCTGAGCTCCACCTCTGTCACCACGGGGACCTCAGATGGTGGGTTGTTTCCCCAGCATGACACTTATTTATGCATGAGTTCACTAACAGTTGTCACACAATCACTACAAAATGACAAGTCTCACCTGATGTTTGCACATGTTAACATGAGACAAGTTCTGTGAGCTGTGCCATCTGGTGGTTGATGTTTTTAAAAAAGTAATTTAACAGTGCTGCTTCTTGAAATGACTGTCTATGGGGTGCCGTTTGTAAAGTCACACAGTCAAAATTTAGCAGCACTATTTTGGTTTATTTATCCTTTAATAAGAAAAAAAGTTTGTTTTTTTCAAAGTCATATTTTCACCATGTTATTCATACATTTATAAATGTCATAGTTCCAAACTAAATATTTAATTTACAAGCTAAATATTTAACTTGCAACTTAAATATTTAGCTAGCAAGTTAAATATTTATGTTCGACCTAAATATTTAGTAAGCCAATTAAATATTTATGTGGGAAATTAAATGTTTAGTTTGAAAAATAAATATTTTGGTCCGAGCTAAAGATTTAGTTTAGGAATTAAATGTTTAGCTTAGGAATTCAATGTTTAGTTTGGAAATTAAATGTTTAGCTTGGATAACAAATATTTTGTTTGGAAATCAAATGTTTAGTTTTTAAAACAAATATTTAGCGTGGAAATTAAATATTTAATTTACGCCTAAATATTTAGTTCACTAACTAAACATTTAACTTGCAAGTTAAATCTTTAGCTTGTAAACTAAGTATTTAGTGTGGAGCTAAATATTTAGCTTGCTAACTGAATATTTAACTTGCAAGTTCAATATTTAGCTTGTAAACTAAATATTTAGTGTGGAGCTAAATATTTAGCTTGCTAACTAAATATTTAACTTGCAAGTTAAATATTTAGCTTGTAAACTAAATATTTAGTGTGGAGCTAAATATTTAGCTTGCTAACTGAATATTTAACTTGCAAGTTAAGTATTTAGTCTGTAAAACTAAATATTTAGCTTGTAAGTAAAATATTTAGTGAACTACGACATTTATAAATGTACGAATAACACGGTGAAAATGAGTTTGAAAAAACAACTCTATTTTTTTTTCTTATGAAAGGCTAAATAAACCAAAATATTGCTGTTAATTTTTGACTGTGTAACTTTACAAACGGCACCCCATAACAGTCAGCCACAAAGAAGTAGAAAAGGCTCAAAGTCACAGTTGAGATGATTTAAGTTTAAGCTTGTGAAGTGAAACAAAACATCTCCTGATTTCAGAATCTGCTGTCAGGGTGATTTCCCTCCACCTGTCACTAACGGTTTCACTTACAGTAATGCTCGAGCTGCCCACCTGCTGCAAGAATGCTGCTATATTCAGCGCAGAACTTTCAACCCTACTTAATATAGACTGACTTATTATAAAACAGTGTTTAAATGTGTGGGCAATGTTTATGCATCTCTGCCTGATGTGAAGTTTTTTTTGGTAACTCATGACACACTGAACAGAGTCATTTTGTGTTTGTGGTGTTTGCTTTCGAGATATGGCAGCAAACCTAGTAACAGTTTGTCAAATTTGACATTGTCCTCAGGTTCGGAAGAATGTTCGTTCCCGTTCCCACCAGATGTCAGGAAAGACTGGAGTCCAGACTCCCCAGTCACCTGCACTCTGAGGCCTATAAGAGTTCATAGCTACACCCAGACAGAGGGACCTCAGCTGCCCTCGCCTACTGCTGAAGTCATCCGCCCTCAGCCGTCTCTTTTAGTCCCCGTGCCGCCCACCCTCCCCTCGTGCCCGAGCCCCCTGCCCATAAGAAAACATTGTGCAAAGTGGGAAAACCGAGCCTCTGTTTTGCAAAAGCCCAAAGAGCCGTTGGAGGGGAGCAAACCCTGCTACGAATCTCTGGAATCAGTGAGTGCAGCGCCAACACTTCACAGATTATGTTTGTTGTTTTTAACTAAAACCCGATTAATCGTTTTTACAGGAAAACCTGAGGCTCCAAAAAACGAACGAAACACTACGCAGGAAACTCCGAGAAGCTGAGCGGGAGGTGGAGTTTTTGAGGAGACACATTCTCCATCCTGTAGAGGAGGACTCCTCCTCTTAGACTCAAACTTCTCCAGAGAGACATATGGCAGAATGTATAAAAATCCTATTTATTGCTCTTGGACAGTTAAAAGTGTCTTACTGGCATAATGTAACTGAGCAGTTTGTCATCCTGTGATAAAGCTCACAGGGTCAACGAGGTGCACCGAAGGTCAAGTTAGGCTAGTGAGTGCATCATCATCATGAAGGAAGTTGTGAAAATTCTCGTGTGTGTGGATGATTTTTTTCAGCAATTACAGTTTAACATGAACTGTTTATTCTTAGTTTTTTCTTTTCAAAACCAACACATTTGTCAAACTCTACAACATGAAGCTGGAAAAACATCTTTGCTGCTGTAAATAAATGAACGAGATCATTCAATGTTCTGAAAATGTTACAAATGAATGAAAACCACCTACATTTTTGAAGACGTTTAGTCACTATAAATATACGTAAAATACAAGCCATCGTCAATTCAACAAACCACAGTATATTTAGAAAGAACAGCAAGACGCGTTTGATCAATTCTTGATCAGTTAAATATTTATGTTAAACATAAACCAGGAAGCATATGACAGGTGAGTTATCACAAGTTATTACATTTTGCCACTTCTTTTATTAGCAGAATAAAAACAGACCACTCACATGTATAAAACCGTTGTTGTTTTGCTTTTTTCAATATTGTTAATATTTATTGTTCGAAACACTACACACTTCTTAAACCACGAAAGACAAAATGTTCTTTTTGTACACATGGTGGTACTTTTACTGGATTATTTATGCTTGTTTTGGCTTTATATTGAACCTTTTTTATTATTGTGTTGTAATCTATTGTAGCAGTGTTGTACTGTGAATAAGAGTCAATAATCATGTTTTTGTATTGTGCATAATGTGCTGTAAATACAAGGGATTCACATCTTAGATATGTCTAAGTTAATGTCCTCTCAGTATTGTTCCTTTATTGCTGAAATAAATAATGTGTATTATGTATTTATTTTAGTCCTGCGTTACTCAGTGTGACCACGAGGTGTCAGCAGAGACCCATAAGTTACCTACTCGTCAACTTTGTTTACATTCTCTTTGCCACTTGTTTTATTCCCACATTTGATGCTCCTATGTTGAACTCAAATACTTCAAACATAAGTCCAAGGCAATATCACACTCAGATTATACTATTCTGACTAACTAAGACCAATTAGTTTTAGTGCTAAATTTAAAATGTAAATAGTTGATCAAATTGTTACAACACAATTTGTTGAATGTTTGTATGAATCAGGGAGACAAAAGCCCTCCAAAGCAGCCCGTGTGTCAGATTTTATTGGATACTATGCCAGTCTGCCATGTCTCTACAGCTTTGCCGCAAGTAATAACTCAAACCCCCACAGTCCATATTGGCCTGCAGATAATGAGAGGGCAGCTGTCTGGTGAAGAAGTAGAGAATCGGACTAAGCGTCTATTTCTTCCCACTTTTGTGAAGCCATGCTGGAAACACAAGGTGATTAATTGGACTATATATCGGTGCAAATGTTGCTATAGATGTAATTCATCCCCAGATAAAGGAAGCAATTGAACTGAAATCATGTTGTGCTTCTTCATTTCTTGCAGCTGTAATGACTCGTTGTCTTGCGTCGGTTTGAACAGAGACCCAGTGAAAATGGATACTCTCTGAGACAAAGCAGCAGCTCCCAAGCCGAGCCTTGGTGACAGCTAATTTACTATATTTGTAAGTGACACCCAGCTGCTGAGGGGTAACATCCCCCCTTATAATCCAGCAGGATTCATGCACACCAATGCTGAATAATTTCCAATATCGTTGCTGGTTGGGAAGGAGAGAAAGATGTGCTAAACCCAAAGGAAGATACCTTTTTTTTTCCTTGTGTAGGCTGCAATAAAAGCCTGAGAAGAGCAATATATTTACCCTGACATGCTAAAGTAGTTATCATGAAGATGAAATTATCAGACTGAAATTCATTTATAACTCCAACAGAGAGTGTAAAAATCATTTAGCCTGCTGCATACAGGCCTGGGAGGAGATGAAAAGATAAATACTACGTAGGTTAAACAATGCAGACCATGACTCTTGTCCAGACATTGAGGGCCAAATATAACACTCCAGGAGTCAGGCTAATTAAAGCAGGCAGACAGAGATGATTTATCACCCAGACATCAGTGTATATGGGGGGAACTGAGGCAAGTGTGCCATAAGTTAACCAAATCTGCTAATGAACACTGTAAAACTAATTAAACTACAATGTGGAACAACCTTCTGATAGCAGGGGTGGGACAAGGGGAACAAAGTGGGAGGTAGAGTCACAAATAAAAGATAAAAGAAACACAACAAGCACATAAACTACACAATCTGTCCCTTTTTGAACCCCTATAACCGTGTAGCTTTAGTCTCAGAATAAAAACACAACAGTATAAATAAATTAAAGAGGAGTCTGAAGTCAAAGCTAGAGAAATGAATGTGCGTGCCACCTTGACTTCCCATAAAGAAATATCTTTTTACCTCTCTGACTCTGACTTGCACATAATAAAGCAGCACACACTCGTAAAACTCTGTTAGGCTGCAGAAATTCATATCCTGCTCATATGAACTGGCTTCTTGTTATTCAGCTTGCTGGTGTACCAGACAGCAGCTCGGCACTAACATATACATATATTTTTTAAAAAAGCAACATACAGGTCAAAAACATCTCTTCTTTTGCTGTTGGACACATGCATTGTTCTTCTGCAAATGTACATAGCATAAATAATTAGCATCACAGAAAAACAAACAAAGGTTTCCAGCTCAGAGTTACATGTTGTTGCGTTAATGTGAGATTCACGTTGTACATGGCTCACCAGTGCAGCTGTCGGAAAGATTTATGACGGCTTTTCTTTCCCGTTATTGCTCCTCAAGGGATACTTTAGCAGGAAGTGATGGATGCAGAAACAGAAACTAGTTCTAAAAGTTGCATTTGATCATAAAGAAACACGTCTCTTTGGCTCACATTTGATCTAAATCTTGTTCCACCCTTTAGAAGTTATAAATTATAAAATTCCAAGGCAAGATCTGACAGCTAAAGTTTATTTTAAGGAAGAGAACAATAAAGACTCACTGACAAGTCAAGTTTAGTAAGAGATAAGGGGGGCTAAGTGGTGATAAAAGAAGAAAAACGGTGTAAAGAACAGATGCTGCAGAACTAAAGCAACCAGAAAACTCTTCAAAACCTCCAGAACAACTCGTTGCCAAGACCAAGTAAAATGAGGCTGCAAAGAAACTGAAGCAGAGCGAAGAGAGGAGGGGGTGGGGGGGGGGTGGGGGTGGGCGGAGGATGAAATTCCCCCATGGTGAGACTTCCTTATGAAGGTTGGAAACAAAGAGCAAATCAAAAACTGTTCTGATCCAGCCTCTGAAATTCAACATCTTCTGACGTCACAATGCACCGCTGGAGCCAAACACCTGCTTGTTCTCTTCTAAAATAAGAAGAAGCAATAGATCACACTGAAAATTGAAATATATACATTAATGTTGGAAATTGCAAAGTCATTTTGCAAACTCCTGAAGAAAAGAAAATATTTTAATGGTTTAAAGTTATTACTTTATGTGCAAAAGCTCTAAAAACTTAAAAAAATGTGGGTTTTTTTTTTATATCATGGAAGTTACAAAAAGTCTAAAAAATGTCTAATAATTCAAAACGTTTTGTTTCTAAACAAGACTGATGATTTTGGCAGCCTCCTTAAACAACATAAAAACAAAATTCGATGCCACACAAAAGACTGCAAACCTTTCTTTAGCTGGTGACGTTTAGAAATCCTTTAATTGTCGAGTAACTATTATATATACAGTAAATAAGCTGGAGATGTAGTTATTTTTAGATCATTCATCATACATTAAAATGTATGATGAATGATGATGATGATTTTTATAAATGTATATACAGTTTTTTTTTATGTAATTTTTTTTTTTTTCACATTTGAATTCTTGATAGCAGTGGGACTTTGTAAGATAACACATTTTATCTATTAATGGCAAACTAATGTATTTCCTTCAAAACGTTGTATTTAAACTCTTTTAAAAATATTATTCAGGTAACACATAATTTACTGGAGTCCTTTAATACACTCAGCTATGGCCTAATAATTAGACTCCTGTATTTATTGAAATAATTGTTACTTCTTCAAAACTTTTAACTCTATGGTTGACATCAAATTCAAACAGAAGCCTGTAAATAGTGATGCAACATCTCAAAATGAACAAACGATCGTTGCAATATTTTGCTGCTTCCGGTTGAAACATTGGGATACAACGAGTGACAGCCCTTACCTTTGATAAGTAGTACTAACCTGAGTATTTCCTTGTGCCCTCGAAGTCCTGGCTCCATGGTCCATCCTCAAGGAGCCTTGTCTCCTTGTGTCTGTGAAGCAGAACCTCTCTGTGGAGCCTCCTCGTAAACTCCTCCTCCTCGTCAGCCTAAGAACAACATCCTTGGATCAGCATCTGACCGTCCTGCCACTCTCCAACGTATTTGGTCCTTTCCTCACCACTTCCTGTCATCCACCTGGACTCCTTCATCCTCCTCTCCAAGCCTGCCAAACAAACAGAAAGAAGTAAGAAATCTTCGTTGGACATTACGCTCAAGATTACGTCAACTACCAACATGCTTACCTGTCACCTGTTCCATTTCAGATCTTATCAAAACACTGTAAGTAAAATCACTTGCCTTTAAATTTGAGTGTGTTGAGCTCTCTCTCGGTCTGCACCTCCAGAGCTTGTAGTTTATTGTTTGCATCTCCAGACAGTGATAGTTTGCTTCAAAACTTACTTCCGGACAAGGCTATGAACTGAAAGAATAAATTCAATAACTCAATGTTTTTATTGTACCAAAAACAACTTCTTTGGTGCCAAAGCTCATGCTCAATAATCCAGGTATAAAATCCAACAATGTTCAGTCAGGTCGGAATACTAACTGAATATTGTTGGATTTTATACCTGGATTATTGAGCATGAACTTTGATGTTTTGAACCACTTTGGCATGACTGTCTCAGAGGAATGATGGGGGAAAGGGCGGACCACCAAACTGTTTTTTTTTTTCATATAGAGTATGCTGTTTGGGGGGATCAGTTTTGTGGCTTCTCAGACTGAGGAAGTCCTTTGGATGAAGGACGAAACATCTCAGCACAACAAAAAGCAGAAACCATCCAGATGACCTGACTGAACACTGTTGGAACTTCTTTGGTGGCTGATTTGTGTAACACACCTTCTTTGGTGCAAAATGATATACAAAGTAAAAAATGTCCCACTTAAGTTTATTTCTCCAAGGCGATTTGGAGTGCTGTCAATTTTCTGCTTCTGAGGTATCATTTGAAACCATCACATGCCGTGTTGACGATAAAATGGAGCCTAATTAGTTTCCCATTTCATGGACAAAAGCTTCTTGAAACACAAAGCCTGTACAGGTGCTTCACGGTGATGCAGAAGCTGTATGTAAAATAAATGCTTCACTGCTGCAGACACAATGAGTGTGAGATGGTCCATTTCCTCACACAATCAGCCCCACGCAGCTCTCTGTTAAGGCCGACTGAAACACTGACTGGACTCAGACGATGTCCAGCAGGCTGTTTCAGAGCCTGCTGTGTTGCTGTTGGTCAGCCACCCTCTGCTGCCTTCTTTAATGAGCCATTATATGAGGAGAAGTGTTCAAATGCGCAGCTTCAGTGTCTGGAGGACACGG